GGTAAGCCAGACATTGGAGCAGATGATGGATCTTCAATCTCCATAGGCCTAGAGACAGAAGGTGCTTCCGGAGCAGTTATACTAATAGCTGAGTCAAGCGAATTATGGTCGGTGGTGCCAACTACAGCGGCCGGATTAGGCGGCTGTGATGTAGAAAGGCCTGGGACAGAGGTCGGTGATACAGACGGTGATGGATGTACTGTGGCCGAGGCTGCAGACGATGCGGGAAGTTGTGTCGAAGGGGGCTGTTGAGTAGGTTGAGTTGATAGCATCTGCTCCGATGAGGAAGGTGGTGGTGGGGCCTGGTGTGAATTCGGTAATTGAGCTTGGCATGAGGCTACAGTTGATGATGGAGAATATCCAGGAGAAGCAGGGACAATAGGGTTAGTGGAACTGTGAGTCTGGGGCGGCACAAGGGACACGTTGTGATGGTGATACTGCTGTTGTTGAGTAGCAGCGGCTGGTGCTTGAGTCAAAAGACCACCATGAGAAGAAATATGAGAAGCTGGTGGAGAGGGAAGTGGAGTGGGATGCTGAGAATAACCGGTGCCAGAATGAGTTACAGAACTGAGCATGGATCCAGGAGCCTGTGCACTGATAGGGAAGGCATGGGCTGTGTGTGAGGAACTAGAATGAGGATGACCAGAGGAAAGGGGTGGGGGCTGAGCATGGGTTGGAGTTGGGCCAGTCGGTACAGCGTTATGGGTGTGTGGGGCATGTGAGTGGGCACTTGAGTGAGGATGGGGATTAGGATGTAGGTGATTGGGGTGTACATGGGGCTGGTTATTAATGTGAGGATGGAGTGGAGTATGAGGAGAAGTGGAGTGAGCATGTTGATGAAGCTGCTGAAGCTGAGCTTGTTGAGCCTGTTGTTGCTGTTGAGCCTGTTGTTGCTGTTGAGCCTGTTGCTGTTGTTGCTGTTGCTGTTGAACAAGTGCCCTAGCACGACTCTCCATTGTCTTGATTACTTCCATATGAAAGGCTTGTCGATCTTGCAGTAATTGTTGCCGTTGCTGTTCAAGCATTTCATGTTCTCGCTCCAAAATTGCCTCGAGCTCCTAAAGAATAAAAATTGGACATAAAGAAAAAAAATGAAAGAATTAACCAACCCTGAAATAAGTAATTTCATGCGTTGGTAAAATATTAAAATTATTTTAAAAATAATTATATGAGGGCTTGTTGGAGTACATGTAATTTAGATTGAAAAGGGGAGTGGAAGCAAGCCATAAGTTGGCCGAACGAAAAACTGCAGGGGCATGGTCTTAAAGCTGTGATTGTAGTTCGGATATATGAAGAGTAAAATGGTGTGGCCCTACTGTTTGGTCGCAGTCTCCGCTAGCTTTAGGGAGTAAGTTCGAAAATGCTATTAAAACTTTGTCGGAGCATCAGATCAGGAAGACCTTGTGGATCTTACCTAATTCTGTGTCCTATGTCATAGTATTCGTGAGTTCCAGCTCCGGACTATGGAATATAGCAATGGGGAATGTAATGATTCAATGTTCAGATTCTAGAAAACACACATACTCTGACAAAGGATACAGGAATAGGTACAATCCATAAGGTTTCTAAGGCTCCAAGATGAAGGCAAACCAAGACTATAAAGCTAAAGAAGAGTGCGACCAAACAAAAGACGACATCATCTTGGTCTTCATATCTAATATGTAATTACAGTGGTAAGATTGCAAGTCAATGCAATGATTATAGCAGATCGAATAAAACAATCGTACGTCAAGCTTGTCATTTAACCTTGCTTAGCTGTTGTAAATGCTATGGCATCTCTCCTAGTTTTATAAATGTGATGAGAAAATATCGTTCCTAAAAAGTCCTGCTATATTATGTCATGCTTCTTTGCAAGAATGAGAGAAGACATAAAATAGGGAAATGGGAAAATTATTTCCCCTTTAGATATTAAATCTAGACTCAAGCATGATTTGAGTCAGATGCTCACACCGGAGGATTTTCTGAAACTACAGATGACAGACGTAATGACGAAAAGGATATCGGACTTAATCAAAAAAGTCAACAAGCTGAATAAATATAGAATATATGGGCAGCCCAAAGTCCAACTATTTGGAATAAATGAAGATGCCTCTAGGCTAATGGGTATCAAAGACCAGACAAGAAATGATTTATCAATTAGTGAATTTGTCTTCTGCCTCTCTTGATCTGAAAACCACGGAGATCCTCCAGAAGAGACCACATTTCGCCCTTCGGAATGAAAGGAATGAAGTCAAGGGCATTTTAGTGGAGGTGATAAATACCTCTGAAAAGCTACCTAAAACATAGAAAATAGGGCTGGAAATAGAAATCATCCCAGTAATCTTGGCGCATCAAGTACCAACACATCGGGACAATATAACCAAGATATATAGAGAATTGACAAAAAACGATCAAATAGTCCTAGAAACCGACAAAGGAGGTGCCAGTAATGATGAACAGGAAGAAATATATAGATAAAATAGAAAATATTCTTGGGGACACTACAACGTATCGACTACTAGCAAAAGACTCGACAGTTAAAATCGAAGGGCTGCAGCAAAAAATACTGAACAGCCTCTTTCAAAGAAACCTGATGAACAGGAGATTAGAAGAGGGAAAAGTCAGCTCGATAGTTAAAATCGAAGGGTCACTGCATAAAGTACTGAGGCTTTAGCCTCTAATTAATCGCCCAGTTGCAAGGGATGGACGAATTGCGCCTCAAGTAGCACTGATGGGGGGGCAAGGGTCGAGTAAAATACATGTACCAGAGAGATAGCAGACAGATTCTACGGGGCAAGAGGGAGACTTTGATAGGACATAAGCAAGGACTAAGTAACAATATAACAGACTCTGGTAAACATTTTCAACACCAGGATGAAAGGGGTGATAACGACAGTATGATGTGAAGGGTTTTTATGAATGCCGCTCGAAGGAGCACACGACACTACATTAAGAATACGCACAGTAAAAACTGTGACAGGGAAGGCATGATAAAAGGATATAGGAAATGTGAATAGACCAGGGCAAACGGGGAGATACCATAAATTTTTAGCACACGTTTGGTCAAAGGATGGGCTTTTACCGAATATCTTCAGGAACAGACTAAGAGTGATATTGAATTACAGGTTGTTCCTTTAATTGATAGCCATGTAAAAATAACATCCAGGAACAAGAGTGAAAAACATCATAAGGAAACTAAATAATAAGGACCAAATGGTGTTGAGTTTAGACAAAGGAGGAGCAGTGGTAGTCATAGAAATGTTTAGATATGTAGGGAAAAATGATACAACTTTCGATATCCCCACCACATACAAGGTAATATGTAGGGACCCTACATAAAACCTTAAGTATAGACACAGGAGTTGCTTGTAGCATTGTGTAACAAATGGGGAACTGGAAAAGTAGAAAATGAACAT